CTGTCACAGGACTCAGAGGCAGATACAGAGAATGAACTCAAATGCGACATTTATTGAACGATTTGATGAATGGCAGGAATGCATGTGAGTAAACATAAGAACAGTGAAACCAAGGAATGCACTCATGGACTGTACACTGACCTGTCATCCAGGAGCAAAGAAGGAGGTTGACCTTCAGTCACACCAGATTCTGAGAAGGAAGAAGACAGAGGGATGGTGAGACTTGAGGAGTGAGACAAATTTGTGTTTACTATTGTCATTTTGCATTATTGACACTATTTTCCTAATTAATGCTGTTCAGTTGCTTTGACACAATCTGTATTGTTAAAAGCGCTATATAAATAAAGGTGACTTGACTTGACTTGACATGGAATGTGGGAGAATTACAGTAGTGAATTACAGTAGTATTTCATAGCATTTAACTGTCTTTAAATGGTGAATGGCCAACGTAGCAGGGACTCAACTTGCAACAGGGCAGCCGGGGGTAGATTTCCTGGATGGAGAGCCAGATCTTCTGCCCAGGATGGTAATTAGGTGTTTTTGCTCCCATGACATCAGCCTGAAATCTCCTTACTGCCTTTTGCAGGTGGACATGAGCTGAGTTCCAGACCCTCTCGCTGTCTTGGAACCAGTGGCCCTGGAACCTTCAATGGCTCTCCTGACCAGGGATACAGGTGTGTTTGGAAGCTGAATATACACTGGAAAGAGGGTCAAAAGGGTGGTTGGCTGATGGAGGGAGTTCTGGGTGAACTCGGCCCAAGGGAGGAATCGTTCCAGCTGTGCTGTTAATGACAGTATGTCCGCTGGAAGCATCCTATCTCCTGAATCTTCCACTTCGTCTGCCCTTCTGACTAAGGATGACAGACTTACTGACACACCTTTGAGGGAGAAAGAAGTTTCACTAGACCCGGGACATTAATGGGAGGCCATAATTCTGGAAGGAATTATAAGGAACAGTGCTTTGCAGCAGTGGGGAAGGCCCTTCATCAGCACTAGTCGACAAACCTTAGAGAAACAACCAGGGATGGCGAAGAATGGACAGACGAAGGAGCTTTCCAGCTGGACGTTGGCAGGGGAGATTTGGAGATTGATGCAGTTGGGATGTCCTTGGATGAAATAGGTCAGTGGAGGCAAGAGAGGGCATCAGTCTTGACATTTTTGGATCCTGGACGATAGGAGATAATGAAATTGAAGTAGTTGAAGAATGCCCCCCAGGCCTGGCAGGGGTTCAGATGTTGAGTCTCACTCAGGTATTCGAGGTTGTGATGATCAGTGACAACGAGGATGGGATGATGTGTTTCTGGGGGCTCTGTAGTTGAAGTAAGGTTTCAAGCCTCCTTTTTGGCCATAAACAAGAAACCTGAAACAGCAAAGGGCACAGAGGGGTGAATGTATCTCAGGTTCAACGCCTCCTCAAAATACTTTCTCCATAGCTTTCTGCTCTGAAAGTGTCAAAGGCTAAATCCGTCCTCTGGGTAATGGTAACCTGGCAGAAGATCAGTGGCACATTCCCATGGTTGGTGAGGAGGAAGTTGTGACTCACACTTGAAGCTGAAGACATCCTGCAATGGTTGGGATTCTAAGGGGCTGTCAATTTGGGACTCAGAGTGTGTGCTCTAGATGGAGATAGCTTGGCTTTGAATTACTTCTGGACCACCACGTGAATTGGTACTTGGATGGTTTGGAAGATGGAGGCATTGTTGGAAGCAAGTTTTTCACCATGCTAGCAGAGGTGAGTAGTCAAGTCAAGTGAAGTCACCTTTACTTGTATAGCGCTTCATACAATACTGATTGTGTCAAAGCAGCTTTACAGTGTCAAGCAGGAAAATAGTTTGTCAATAATGCAAGAGGACGATAACAAAGAGTCATTTTTCCAACTAAAGTCAGTTCATTGATGATTCAGTGATGCCATCATCCAGTTCAGCTCTCTTCCAATAATGTCTGTTCAATCAGTCAAGCGTCCCCAACTAAGCAAGCCAAAGGTGACAGTGGCAAGGAACCAAAACTCCATCGGTGACAGAAATGGAGAAAAAAAACCTTGGGAGAAACCAGGCTCAGTCGGGGGGGGGCAGTTCTCTGGCCAGATGAAACCAGCATGGCGTGGTTTAATTCCAGGCTGCAACACAGGTGCACAGGTGAGTGGTGTTGAAGCCACAGACGCCCCAGGATGATGTCAGCAGTGGGGCATTCCAGAACCAGTAAAGACATGAGCGTGGTGGAGCAGGGGATCAAGCAGAGGTGGAGCTGGTGGCAGAGGTGTTCAAAGATGACGTTCCCTGCCAACCCAGACACGAGAAGGGCTTTGACTAAGACAGAGATGTGGGAACTGGTTACTGTCATCATGGTATGCAGGGGAGATTGATTCACAGCAAGAGAATGAACATGACTCACTGGCAGATGAGGTCTCACAGGAACATTTGGAAAGGATATGCCATCATCTCTCCAGTAAAGACAGAGGGGGTTTTGGAGACTTATGTTGTCATTTGGTGAGGATTTATCTGAATGAGTCTGCTTGCATGGGTTCAATATCTGCTTCTGGAGGGTTGGACAGTGTGTCTGGCCTATGGGGCTTGCAAGGTAGGATGGTCATGAAGGTAGGACATCATCCAATGGGATACCCTGATGGAGAGCTGGATGAAACACTCAAGACCTATGGTGTTGTGAGGCCGAGAGATGCAGTTGAAGAGATGGTTCAAGGCTCAGTTGATAGGCTGTGAGGAGGGCCAGTTCGAAACTGCAGAGCATAATCCAAGATGGCTTGTTTTCCCTGGTGTAGTCGGTAGAGTTATTTGTTTACAGAGTCACGCACGGGATGTCCAAGGACTTCACGGAAATGAGCAAAGAAAGCATCTAAGGACTGGGTAAAAGGATGAGATGGAATAGTGAGTGCTCAATGAAGTTGGTATACCAATTCCTTAATTGGATCCAGAGCACTACTGGATGATAATCCCATAGAGTTCACTGGTCTTCTGTTATGGGACTCAGAAGCAGTGACAGAAGATGAACTCAAATGTGGGGTTTATTTAAATGGTTTGATGAATGACAGGAATGCAGGTGAGTGAACAGTGAAAAGAAGGAATGCACTTATCTCAGAGAGTAAGTCTTTCTTTATAGATGTAGATGGGAACACATGGAAACCACAGAGAGAGAGCTGACACAGAGATCGACAATAGAGAGAACTGGCAATGGAGATGATAAATAGAGATAATGCTGGAGAACTGTTACGTGCCAGGAGTTTTGTTTTTGTAGTTCCCTCCTCCTTTCCTTTGTTATTCGTTCTCTGCTGTCCTTCTAAATGTAGGATTTACGATTGGCTGGATGAACTGCCGGATTTGAACCAATCATGGACCGTGACCTGTGATTTAAGCTGCTCCAGTGACAGGAAGAGGAGGAGATTGGAGACTTTGAGTCTTTTGTGTTGGCGAGCTTTGCTCTTGTGTTTTGTTGACACTCTACGCTTTTCAGCATGGTTCGCTTGTTTGTTTAGGTTGTTATTGAGTTTACATCCTACCTAAGCTATGCTCCAACAAACCCAGAGGGAAGTAAAGGGAGGGTACGTCATGTGACATACATATCGCACCCACATAGATTTTCTACTGTTAGACACATTAGGTAAGAAGCTTGTGCCACCCGATGTATGGTTTTGATAGTGAGTGTAGTTCTAACTAGGGCGTGTGTTACGTCGAAGACTTTTCCTTTTTTGGTTTGTTTTCCAGTTAGTTTAGAGGGTTGGGTTCAGTTAGCGTCTGTTTGGTTTTGTTATTTTCTTTGATTTAGCACCGCTTGTGTTCCTTCCCTGTTGTGGTTTGTATCATTTATTTCTGTATAATTTGTATATAATTGTATTTATTTTGGTGATTTGGTTATTCTCATTGGTACACAATTGTAAATAAAGAGAACCACGTTTGCAACTTCAGTCGTTGTCTGTCTGTTGCTCCGCAGCAGTTGATCTCGGGGAAAATTACGGTATAGGCTATCTTTATTATGTTTGCTCTATTCCATACCCTGAATCGCTAGGGGGCGTAACATCATTTTGGGGGCTCGTCTGGGATCCTTCTCGGTATCGAGCAGGTCCTGGTTATCAGGATAGCTCTATTCCATACCCCGAATCGCTAGGGGGCGTAACAATAACATATTGTGGAGATCAACAATGGAGATAAAGCTGGAGAACAGATGATGGAGAACAACAAGGAGAATGTCCGGGCAAGTAAATCCACAGGTAAGGAAAATGGGTGTCTGACAGTCTTTGTGGGTAACATCAATAAGACGAGACCAAAAATAAGTGTGAGTGCAAGGTATAAGTGCAGTCTTTGATGATTAGATTAATGAGATCCAGGTTTGTGTAATTAGAATGCAAGGGAGAGTGAGCAGAGTGTGTTGGGAGAGGGGGAGTCTGGTGAGAATGTGACACACACAAGCTGAAGTTGGTGCTCCTGTTGGATAGGACAAAGTAGATGTCAAAACTTATAGTATGATAATTCCAAAAAATACAGTATCCATCATTCCTGATCTCGACAAAGCAACAAAGACATCCTATGTTTTCCTTGCCAGACCTGCTGCACTCAATTCCTGTTGAGAAAAAGGAAGATTGGCTATCTCATTTTGAACTTGTGAAAACTATTTTGAGTCACTTTTTAATTGCTTACCTACACCTTGGACCACATCCACAGCCTACTCTAGTTTGTAATTGATCTGCTGGATCAGCTTTCACTCCAAGCAGTTTCAAACACCATCTGTGTCTGTCAGCCATTCCCATGTGTGCTTGAGCTCCCAATGATGTTGGTTGACTAGCTGGTCTAACTGGTTTTTCCAGGAAGGCAGTGCAACTGAATATCTCAGACACCTAATATTTCAGAACAGAGATCGGATTTCCTCTTCTTTAAAGTACAGATGAGCCAGTAACAAAAGAACAGACTTCCCACTGTATCTCGCAATCAGGGCCTTAGAAAAGTAATTGAACATCTATAAATGCAGTCAATAGCTAGTAGCATCACGCAACAATGAGCGAGACTGCTATTTTATACACCAAGAACTTTTTGGCTGGTGGAATCGCAGCTGCGATCTCTGAGACTGCTGTTGCGCCCATAGAAAGAGTCAAGCTGCTCCTTCAGGTATGCTTTACAACAAACTTGTATAGATTACTCTTTGCATGTGTAACCTGCATTGCATTGTAAATTAGGTATGAATTAATTAATCTTTTTCACACATTTGTCCATCTTGGTTAATTAATAAATATACTCTTGTCCATTGTTAGATCATGTTCTTAATTCTTAGTTCTTAATATGTAATGCTACATAACTTTATCTTACAATAAAAATTAATTGAACCAATTATGATTCTTAACGCACCGGGTGCATAACTGTTGCTATAGAAACGAATGCATCTTTCACAAGCATCTGATTCACAAATAAACCACACACTCTTATTTTAGTGTTGTTGTTGATATTTCAGCAAACCGTTAGCTTCACATGTTACAACAAACTTGTATAGATTACTCTTTGCATGTGTAACCTGCATTGCATTGTAAATTAGGTATGAATTAATTAATCTTTTTCACACATTTGTCCATCTTGGTTAATTAATAAATATACTCTTGTCCATTGTTAGATCATGTTCTTAATTCTTAGTTCTTAATATGTAATGCTACATAACTTTATCTTACAATAAAAATTAATTGGACCAATTATGATTCTTAATTAACGCACCGGGTGCATAACTGTTGCTATAGAAACGAATGCATCTTTCACAAGCATCTGATTCACAAATAAACCACACACTCTTATTTTAGTGTTGTTGTTGATATTTCAGCAAACCGTTAGCTTCACATGTTCAGTTAAAGAGCATTAAGTTAAAGCAAATGTTATCATTCAACATGCCTATGTATTTTGGACACTGCATTGAATGAGCGGGGTATTCTAGTTTAATTCAGCTGCTCATGGTAATGTCGATAATATGACCCCTTTCAGGGGTGGCCAAAATTACACTTTAATATTAGTCATATCTATAGAAATGTATCTTCATATTATAATATCCACAAATATATCTTAATACAAGTACACACAAGGCTATTTCTAACCCCAACCCACACCTTGCATAATGATGGCATCACACAACAAAAGAGATTATAATCAAAATGATTTTTTTCAACTTGCAGTTTCCATTGATGTAAGGTTATTTGCAAGGTTAGGTTTAGATTTAACATGGGCAGTGGATACATGATATTTAAAGTAACTATATTCAAGGCTAATGAATATAAAACAAATCTAAAAGGTCATAATTTACATTATCAATTTAATTTTCTAATTGTGTTTTCAAGTCTTTTCTTTGAAACTTTTATTTTATTCATTTATTTATTTTTAGTTCAATCTCTATAAGGTCTTTAAAATATAATCAAGAACGACCCATTGCAAATTTTGAGCAGCATTTTTGCAGCCTTGAAGGGCACTGTGAAAAGGGGACACCACACGATGGGTTGTTTCAAACGAAAATATGCAACTTAACCAGACATGGTCTTATTATGACTTAACCCCTTACTTGTGCATGCAATGCCCTTCCTCAAGACCGTTGTGAGATATATATGAGAAATAATTTAATTTAACAGTCTATGATCGAGTATGTGACCCAGGGTGGAGTCTGTAATTTGGCTAGAATGTGGAAGAGTTTGAGCTGTTTTGTTGTGATATATTACACACATTTTTGTCATGCATGAAACATATTTAATGTAGTTTAATAGGCAATAAATGTTTAATACTAAATATGTTAAGTAAATATAACTACAAATGTATAGTGTCTCAAGGTTCTATGGGATTATAGCTGTCTAAATCTACTTGAACGTTTGAACATGTGTAGGCATGTATGAAAGTTGTAATTGCTAATGTTAAACTAGTTATTTCTTTTATTCTGGTTAGTGATCAACTTGACCTAATTGTCAATAGTTGTAATCAAGGCTGTGGCAAGGAGAATCTATTTGCAGGGCAGCCCTAATAGCCTCATGGAGGGTTGCAACCAAGACCACCACTGCCACTGAAAATATTGTGACCTTTAGTCTATATCTGTTGACTTTCCATTTGTATACTAAAGCTGACAAAGGTATAGCAGATATAAGCATTTTGTCTCTCTTCTGGAAAAGTGGACCAATACATGTTTTGAAGGGATATTGAAATATTTTGTGTTGACTGACAACTTGGTGTCTTACAACTGGTGACACAAAGGTCATTGCAATAAATTTGAAAGGGTTGCGTTCAGTGATGTTTTATACATTAATTGTTTGTGAAATTGTGCCCTTTTCTTACAGGTCCAGCATGCCAGCAAGCAAATCACAGCAGACAAACAATACAAAGGTATTGTAGACTGTGTAGTACGTATTCCCAAGGAGCAGGGCTTCCTGTCCTTCTGGAGAGGCAACTTGGCCAATGTCATTAGGTACTTCCCAACACAAGCTCTCAACTTCGCTTTCAAGGATAAGTATAAGAAGATTTTCCTGGATGGCGTGGACAAGCGCACCCAGTTTTGGAGGTACTTCGCTGGGAACCTCGCCTCTGGTGGTGCTGCTGGAGCCACGTCTCTGTGCTTGGTTTACCCCCTTGACTTTGCCAGAACCCGTTTGTCTGCTGATGTCGGAAAGGCTGGTGCAGAGAGAGAATTCACAGGCCTTGGAAACTGTTTAGTAAAGATCTTCAAGTCTGATGGTCTAAAAGGCTTGTATCAGGGCTTCAACGTGTCTATGCAAGGCATCATCATCTACAGGGCGGCTTACTTTGGCATCTATGACACCGCAAAAGGTGAGTTAGACATAAGGCAGATTGCCCCTTGAGGGCCATGACTAGTATATGCTAACATCAGGGGCTGAGGTAGGGTTACACAATAATTGTTAAACTGAAAATCACAATTATATTGATCACAAGTTATCACAAATGTGACCCTGGACCACAAAACCAGTCATAAGTGTCAATTTTTCGAAATTGAGATTTATACGTCATCTGAAAGCTGAATAAATAAGCTTTCCAATGATGTATGGTTTGTTAGTATAGGATAATATTTGGCCGAGATACAACTATTCTGGAAAATCTGGAATCTGAGGGTGCAAAAAAATCTAAATATTGAGAAAATCATCTTTAAAGTTGTTCAAATGAAGTTCTTAGCAATGCATATTACTAATCAAAAATTAAGTTTTGGTATATTTACGGTAGGAAATTTACTAAATATCTTAATCGAACATGATATTTACTTAATATCCTAATGATTTTTGGCCTAAAAGAAAAATGTATAATTTTGACCCATACAATGCATTTTTGGTGTTTGCTATATAATATACCCCAGTGACTTAAGACTGCTTTTGTGCTCCAGGGTCACAAATGTTTTAATTTGAGTAATATTGATTTACATTTCATTAGAATTATTGCACTTTCACTTGCATACTTACGTTTATTTTATCTCACAAAAAAACAAACAAACAAACAAAAAACATCAATAACCAACTGGACAATATTGCAGATTTCATTGAGAGATTCAATTTTCCATATTAAATTCATAATATTTACCAGTGTTGGGCTGAATTGCATTAATCCTCTTGAAGGAGTATTTAAAATTCACATTAAATGCACATTAAATCCAAAATGGCCAGCTTCCTGTTGGGCAGTGCTAATGACTAATTGACTAAGTATGACTACTTTAAAAAGTTGTCAAGCTTGTTAAGAAACAGGGTTTGAAAATCAGTCATGGTTGGTAATGCAAATCAAATCCTATTCAAAATCAACTCACTAGCCACTTTGGTGGGTTATGATTTATCAGTTCTGTCCTCTAACCAGGAGCCTCCAACTTTAACAAAACAAAGTCTATGCCTATGCCTAACACAGTGGTTCTCAAACTTTTTTACCTATAAAAAATTCTGCTGCTTAAAATAATAATCCTCCTTATGAAAAACAAGCACTTTCAGTGCTTTGTGCCTTAATAAGAATAGTAATCCTTAGGAAAACAAGGGCCCTTCACACTTTGAGTGCTTGGGTCCCGACAGCTCTATGCTAAATGACTTTAAAACTTTTAAATGACTAAATGGCCATATTTTGCAACTTTTCTTCCTGTCAGTTCGACAGGTCACATGGGTGCCACTACAAAGTTGCCCAGCTCTCTTTGATTATTTACACTTTTTACTTATAGTGATGTTAATGTAGTACATTTACATATGCATCCCAACTTAAATTCAGCAGCTTACTGTCAAATGTGCATGTCATGAGACAAAATATGCAATAATATTGTGAGTAACTGCACTTACTGTATTTGTAAAATAAAATAGTAATATTGTGATTGTTATTAGTTTCTGTACTCCCACCTCCCAATATATGTATCATTTCTAACAGCAATCTTGAGTCCTGAAAGAAGCATATAATTAAGTTGTACCACTTAAAATATGAAAGCTCCAACATGCAACATGTAAAATTTAGCTTATCTGTCTTGTTTTAGCAAAAAATATAATGTTTATAATTTTGGTATTTCATTGAAATATCTTTGTTTTACAGGCATGCTACCTGACCCAAAGAACACTCATATTGTGGTGAGCTGGATGATTGCTCAGTCAGTCACTGCCGTCGCTGGTGTTGCATCGTATCCCTTCGACACAGTACGTCGTCGTATGATGATGCAGTCTGGGCGTAAAGGAGGTGATGTCCAACCCCTGTTTCCTCCCATGTTCCATACAAAATTATTAGGCCTTTTGATGTTTGGTTGTGTTCAGTCTTAATATGATGTTAAAGCAATAGTTCACCTGCAAATTAAAATTGGATGAAAATGAGTTTCTTCACGGGAACAGATTTGTAGAAATGTAGCATTGCATCAGTGTCTCAGCAATGGATGCTCTGCAGTGAATGGGTGCCGTCAGAATGAGCCCAAACAGCTGATAAAAACATCACAAGTAATTCACACCGCTCCAGTCCATCAGTTAATGACTTGAGAAGCCAAAAGCTGTGTTTGTAATACATTCATCATGATGTTTTTTTTTTACTTTAAACCATAATATAGTTTTTCCCAACGAAAAAGTCATCTAGTCTGAATCAGTAGGGAAATATGCAGATCAAACACCGTTTACCAGCGAAAACAGTCAGTTCCAAACAAATATGTTGGTGGATTTCGATTTGAGAGGATGGACAGGGGATGAACTTTTTCACTATTACCGTTATTATGGTTTATGGACTCATATTTTAACTGATGGACTGGAGTGGTGTGTATTACTTGTGGATTATTGTGATGTTTTTATCATCTGTTTGGACTCTCATTCTGACGGCACCCATTCACTGCAGAGCATCCATTGATGAGACACTGATGCAATGCTATATTTCTACAAACCTGATGAAGAAACAAACTCATCCTAATCTTGGATGGCCTTAGGGTGAGTAATTTATTTATTTTTTTTAGCAAATTTTAATTTTTGGATGAACTATTCCTTTAAGTGTTTAATTATTATTATTTTATTTTTTTTAGCTGACATAATGTACAGTGGCACCATTGACTGCTGGAGGAAGATTGCACGTGATGAGGGTGGCAAGGCCTTCTTCAAGGGTACTTTGTCCAATGTGCTCAGAGGCATGGGTGGAGCCTTCGTCCTGGTTCTGTATGACGAGCTCAAGAAGATCATTTAAATACTTTATAGAATTCACTATATGAAGAAAACACCTGTGTATTAAGTGAATAGTCTCTTGCTTTACTTGTGAAGCCTGACTAGTGTTGTACAAGTACTTAAATATATGTTATATAAAAGATAATATATGCACTTTTTAATTTTTATTGATTTATTTATTTTTATGTTTCTTCTCTTCCCTGACTTATCACTGGTACTTATTGGATTACTGTAAACCACAATGTGCTTAGCTGTACCATGCATTGAATGAACCGGAAGTAATTACAGCTGCAGGCTTTTTTTTTTTTTTTCTTTATTTGATTTAGGATACATGAAGCTAAGATGTATTTATTTACATTTACATTTAGTCATTTAGCAGATTTTTATTTAATTTGTTTAAATAAAAAATATATTTTTTTTAATTAAATTTAATTTTTTATTAAATTGTATTTATTTATAATGATGTTTTTGTCAATTTTACTTCCAAACCTAAGCTAAAATTGAATTGAACTGAATTTCATTTCAAACACAAATCTTTGATTTCTGTCAGTACATTTTTCCCCCATTATTGTGTTAGGGTGATTTGTTATATAAGAACAGTCCAAAATATTATGATTATCACTGAAAAACAACAACAATAATTGGAAACAGTTTTCCATTGTGTGTTACGTTTTATTACTGGTTGTCGCTATCAAACATATCATTGCTCTGTATTTACTGAGCTGTCACCTCTGGACACACAAAGGTGTTCACATTGGTTATAATGGTATTCTGTTTATAATGTGACTGTTCTTTGTGTTTCATCAAAAATGAAGAAAGCCTTTAACTCTGGTTAAAGTTTAGTACTAATACTTTTGAGAGAACTTGCTGAATTAAACATGCAACATAGTGATGTAATGCAGCATATTATTGTTTGAAAGGTTTCACATGCTTTGAAAAAATAGGCAGTATTTACTTTGTAGAAAGCAGTTTTTCAGTTTAGCACATTATGGTAATGCAGCATTGAAGTAATGAATGCATTTTTCTGCATCTTGAATAAGAGTTTTCGGTAACACTTTAAGGACCAATTCTCGCTATTAATTAGTCGCTTATTAGCATGCATATTACTAGCATATTGACTGTTTTTGGCACTTATAAAGCACATAATAATGCCTTATTCTGCATGGCCATGTTTTAGATCCCTTAATCCTACACATACCTAAACTTAACAACTAACTTACTGACTATTAATAAGCAGCAAATTATGAGTCTGTTCTTCTTAGTTAATAGTGAATATGTGTTCCCTATTCTAAAGTGTTACCGAGATGGCTTATTTGAACCATTTATGTATGTGCTACACTGAAATCTAATATCGTGTTAATATTAATTATTATTATTTTGGTAACACTTTATTTTAAGGATCAATTTTCACTATTAACTAGCATGCATATTAGCATATTTGCTGTTTATTAGGACTTATAAAGCACATATTAATGCCATATTCTGCATGACCATATTTTAGATCCCTTAATACACCCCATACCTGAACTTAACTACCTTACTATTAATAAGCAGCAAATTAGGAGTTTATTGAGGCAAAAGTCATAGTTCATATTTAGTTAATAGTGAGAATTGGACCTTAAAATAAGTCTGACCATTATGCATAATAATAATAATAATAATAATAATAATAATAATAATAATCACCCAGTGGGCCTTAGTAAAGAAGCTGCAAAAATATTGCCTGTGTGACTGTGTCCCAAACACTCCTTTTGTCTAGTTCATTTGCATATGCTCCCCTTGGTCTCATTCTTAAATTAAAGTTGTTTCCATTTAAATCACTAGCTCATGTCCATTTACTTATTCACTTGAGAAACTGTTGTGCAATCAGCAGGATAATGTTCACCAGAGTAGCCTAACAAAATTAGAATTTATATGGGATAATGCACATACAAAAATAAATACACAACGAACAAACCCAAATCACAAAAGAACATCATGGTGCATTATATTTATTTATTTTGTTTCATCTTATTTATTTTTTTTTAAACACCCATGCAAGTATCAGCTAAACATGAGTCAGGCAAATAACATTGTGTGCCTAAATGTGTAATGCTGATTAAATATTTAATAAGGAGTAGCTGACCTAATATAATTCAATCAGTCTGGACCATTCTTAAGCAAGTAGAAATTGAAAATTTGCCAGCAGAACAACAGGAATGATCAGGACAGGCGTGGCAGTCCTTTCAGCTCTATTGTGTACATCAAGTGATGTTCCTCCTCCTTCACCTGATAATTAAGAGACAAAAGTCAAATTATTTAATCAGTGTTTAAATTTCTATCAATTTCAAATAAGGAAATTTTTCCTTATTTGTACAAATGTCATTACAACTTCACAGCCTTTTAATATATATATATATATATGTGTGTGTGTGTGTGTGTGTGTCCCTGCAGTTTATTTATTCAGCTTTCAGATGATGCATAAATCTCAATTTTGAAAAATGTACACTTATGACTAGTTTTGTGGTCTAGGGTCACATATACAGTATAAAACAAAAGGGATTCCAGATTTCCATATTTACTCACTTGAAGTCGAGGACGTCACTTGCACCCAGAACACAGTGCGCTGCTGGGCTACAGTCGCCCTAAGGATGAAGTGGACAAATATTGAAGTGTTTTAATAATTTCTCTGGATTACTTGGGAGAAAAACCTTCTAATCTGTAATGCACAACAGTATTAGCATACAAATGACTCTTTTGCACAAACTAGCAGTCATGTGGTATCAATTTGAGATGGTGTTTGTTCACTCTTACACGAAGACGATGTTTTTCGCTGTAGCTGGTGGAATCCAGGTGTAGACGGTGGAGTTGTTTTTTATGTTGGTGTTGGCATGGGTGATGGCACCTTGCTGGTTTCCTGAACACTAGGGAACACAAGTGTATGACCCTCAAGATAGGTTTCCATCCAAAGATGCGAATTTAACTTAACTGGAATATCGCATGAAACATTTGCGAATAAAGCACCGTTTCCATCCAACGAGTCAAAGAGAACAAAACCGGCACTTCCTGATAAACTGGCACTAAATATCTCTAAGAAAACTAGGAGAAGCCACTGAATATAATAATTTTCATTTGTAATAAATGACTTTTTTATTCGTCAATAAATGACGAAACACGATAAATGCGGTCATTGCTTTTAGAGGTGGATGCTGCTGTTTGGGAACGCAGTCATGTGAGACAGTAATTATACAGAAATACTTTGATGACAGACTTTGCTCAGGCCTTTCAGAACGACCAAAACAACATATAGACACATGACTTTTTCAATGCGCATGGTGGAATTTATTCAGTAAATGTGTCGCAGTTTATGCGCATTTTTTCTTATCGGATAAAGATAAGAAATCCTTATCCTACTCAGTTGTGAGCATAGGTTTTTTTATGCGCATTTTTAGAATTTATGCGCATCTTGGCGTTTCCATCCAGCGGTTTTTTATGCGATAATCCAAAATGCGCATAAAAATAGGTGGATGGAAACATACAGTGACTACAGTTACCAAATTTATAATGCCTGTGATTTACTAACAGGTGTACCAGTGACATATTTCTGAATGTTTTGTTACACCACCAAAACAAAAACAAGGAATGGAAAAAAAGGCATTTTAATCTAAAAAATGCTGGGTTAAATACAACCCAGTGCTGGGGTTTGTCCCTATATTACCCAGCACTGGGTTGTATTTAATCCAGCATTTTTTAGAGTGTATATATCAAATTTTTAGTTTCATTTTCATGGACTTTTTAGTTTTTCTCATCACTTTCCTGTTTCCTTTGTTCTAGTTCTAGGCTCATTTTACCTGCTACACTCAAAGTAAATCAACACACACACTCTCTGCTCAATATTGACAACTTTTTTTTTTTTTTACTAAATAAAGGCTTTAAATAATGTTGTTGCATATTCTTATAACTATCCCAAATGACATTGTCCCTATTTTACCCAGCACTGGGTTGTATTTAACCCAGCATTTTTTAGAGTGTACAAAATGACTAGATATGTGTAGTCCCAAAGAAGAATTCACTATGCATCGCAGTTTCATAATTAATCTAATGTTTCTAAATTATAAAAAGGGGTTCTGTATCATTTAAATAATATCTGATCTTATTATTTCAGATATAAATATTGCAGTAAAATAGAAGCATAATAGTCCAAAGTCTCACCTCTAAGAACTTTGTGTTATCTGGAGGTGTCTGCCAGGATCCTATTGCTTTTGAGTCAGATCCAGAGCGAGCCTCAAGGAGCACGCCTCTATAGTCAGGACCTTTGATTACAACTGACAAACAACAAGAGAACAAGCGTTACAACAAGTGATACAATTATCCTCATTTTAGGCACTTGTGATATACATGCATTAAATTAAATGGCTAAATAGTTGTTATAAATGCAGTTAAAATATTCCCCGAATTTGGCCTGAATGTCACAAACCTAATGGTGTCTAAAAACAAGGATAAACATAACACACACAAAAAAGTAATCTCCAAGTTTTGTTTCCTAATAGATATATTAGATATAAGGGGATTTTCCTTGGCATGCAATTATGAATTACACTCAGTTTAGCAAGAATTCGGTAAGCTTTGGATTCAGACATGCACATCTTGGAAAAAAGAATGTAGAACTGCATGAATTAATTTACTAAAAGTCTCTTCTAAAACTGTAGTGACCCCATCCAAATGAGCTTTATCCTCTACCTGTGATGGGGTTGCCAGTCTGGAAGGCTGTGCTGCTTGGATGGATGGTGTATGGAGCAGGGTTTGGCTGGGGCTGTACCCCTTCATGCCTCGGCATCATATCCACACAAGCTGAAGCTGGTGCCCCGCTCGGAAAGCACAGAACCGATGTAAAAACTTGTAGTATGACAATCCCACAAAACACAGCATCCATGATTCCTGAAACAGGCCAGCTTATGTGCAATCGTACAATGCAACAAACTAACTTACACACACATTCCCAGATCTCGCAGTGGACAAGCGACTTTTGAGAGGCGCATCTGCTGAGTCACAATTGCATAAAAAATGGGAATTTCATGCCAACACGCTACACTGCCCCTCCCCTGCATAAAGTATTCACGTGGTGTCAGGTGAGACTGTCTTCAAAAAGAGAAACAAACTTTAGTTCCAGGAATCTGTCATTGATCTGGACAAAGAAACAAAGACCTCCTCTGTCGGGAAGGAAATGAGCGGAGCATAGAAAATGTCAATTTTCTTCGCCCAACGTATGCTCTATCCTACTGTTATAATGTTTGGATGGTGGCATATAAGATCGGGTGTTTGGTAAACAGTCTTTTTTGCTTTGTGCAATGCCATTTATAAAATATTAAACCCCGAAACTTATGTTAAAGGCTTTTTAATCAGAAAACGCACACAAACCTAGAGTGGAGTGAATGTGATTCGTTGAGGTGTTCACACAAGTGTAGTTCATGTTTTCTTCATGTTGATCATCATTTAAACCTTAAACTGTGAGACGAGAAAGCTATGCTGAGTTTTGATTTGTTTCTGTGATTCGCTCCAAGAACCAAGACAGCTAAAAAGGCATCCTGCTTTTCTTGATGCTACAAATTAAAGCACAGTATTTTATTTTATTGAGCATAGGTCTTGTTAATGATTTTCAGTTTTAAATCAGTTTTTCAAAAGCTGAAGAATATATCAGGTATGGTATTTGGGTTTAAAAGCACCTCTGCTTTTGGGACTAAAGGTACAATAGTTGATATGATACTAGCTGGCTAACTTGACATGACATGGTTAGACTCAGATGGTCAATATAAGTTATTAAATTTGGTTTCCAACGTAAGAGATAACTACCATATGTATAATGAAATCATTATATTTAAAATATAATATTAACCATATCATATAATAAATACAGTGGGTACGGAAAGTATTCAGACCCCCTTAAATTTTTCACTCTTTGTTATATTGCAGCCATTTGCTAAAATCATTTAAGTTAAATTTTTTTCCTCATTAATGTACACACAGCACCCCATATTGACAGAAAAACACAGAATTGTTGACATTTTTGCAGATTTATTAAAAAAGAAAAACTGAAATATCACATGGTCCTAGAATACTTTCCGTACCCACTGTATATTGTCACTACTGCCATATTATAGGATCTCCATCAAGCAGTTTAAGCAGCTTTCAGAATGTTTTAATGTAAATTTTGTATTTTTTAAAATGAACATTGCAATGAAGCGATAGCTTATTGAACAAAGTAAATTATCAAAACGTGATAATCGGGGTAAAAGGCCCACATCTCACCTCATACGTTAACATGATTTTTAAACAAACCATCATATTATTGACTTCTTTTCCCACAAAATATACAGCATGGGAGTAATGAAAATCAGATTTCCCTCAAGGCTTGCCTTTAGCCCTATTGTGTGCTATTTAGTTGTCATGTATGTTATGTGTGGTGTTTTGTCTTGTGTGTATCACAATGTGCACCATCTATATTCGAGTATTTGCCATGTTTTATGCACAGTCCACTTAAGATGAAGTCCAACGCATCATGTTATTTTCTATTGTACCACCCATATTTTAAGGTTAAAAGCAGATTTTGAATGTTATGTTAAGTAAAACATCACTTATCAACATTAAAATCAATACAAAAACAGCTAATCATACACGCATGTTCTGGTCCTGTTCTAAGCTTGTTAATTTCTGGCAATTCATATTTAGTTTTCTTTCAGGAGTTCTGTATTTATCTATTAATCCTTCTCCTGTTCTTGCAATATTTGGTTTAACTACAGAACTCTGCTTCGATAACAATACAAAGAATATGCTCTCTTTTTCAACTTTAATAGCCAGAAGTCTTATTTTGCGTAAGTGGAAGGACAAATCTCCACCTACTTTCAGTCACTGGATTAGGGATCTTATGCATCATCTTGCACTAGAGAAGATTCGGTGCTCCACCAAACTTTTTTCTCTATTTGGTAGCCAGGGCTGACATGCAGTACATAGAGCAAATGGATACAAATGTAACATTTGCTGTTTGATCTTGTTGTCATTTTTTCCCTTTCTTTCCCTCCTTTATTTATTTTAGAACAGATTAAGAGTGTGCATAATACAATGTATAATAACTACGCAGTGGAGGTGGGGAGAATTTTTTTGTTTTTTCATTCTTTTTTTTAAATGGCTATATTATGTAAAATATTAATAAAAAAAATCAATACAAAAACACTGTTATAAGCAAAAGGCACAGGATAATGTATAATAACTACGCAGTGGAGGTGGGGAGAAATTTTTTGTTTTTTCATTCTTTTTTTTAAATGGCTATATTATGTAAAATATTAATTAAAAAAATCAATACAAAAACACTGTTATAAGCAAAAGGCACAGGAACTAACATGCAACCCCATAATACCAAAAACATGGTCAACACTTTTTTTTAATGGCCAATTTCTAGCAACCACAGCTACTTTATTTAATTTTTTTTACTGTAAATTTAACAATATGTATACAGTGCAATAAGAGTGTAATAGCCTACACTCTCAGCTCAACACAACACACAGTTCAGTGCAGCTTAGTTTGTGTAATATTGCCATGTTCAGCTTTAAACACTTGAACGAGTATTGACGCCATTTAATCATGTTGAAACATTTAAAAGACATTCAAGCAGGGAGACAAAAATTTGCAACAAAATAGATTTTAAAATGTATTTTTTAGGGCACTTGAACAGAAAAACAAGGTAACTACTCTTCATTTAAGAAAGCAAACTTATCTATTACACATTATAGGTATTCTGCTAAATACAAATTGATGTATGAGGACATGAAAGGAATTCCAAAAAGTTAATTTGGTAATTTATTAGAGAGATGTCGTCTTCAAACACTTCACAAATAAAATCTATTTATGCAGTGACTGAAGCCACACGATCGTTCATGCCTGTTACTTTCTCCTCTTCTGCGATCTTCCTCGATGCTTTTCCGATGACCGCTTTGTGCCCTCTTTTGCCCGTTTGTTTTCTCCCAGCATGATTGCTGGTCCTTTACCCCCTGGTGTTGTGGTCTTATTCTTTATGAAGTCCTCTTTGACCATAGGCTCAATGATTGCACCCATTTTAGTGATAACTTTGGGTTTCGTCATATTCTTCACAACACTTTGTGTGTTCCATGTCGGGCCGATAGGCGTACGGATGGAAGACTCAAACTGTGCAGTGTTTTGAAAAGGGAACGGCAGCTGACTAACCTATGAAAAAAACAAGAATAATAATAATTAGAGAGATGCGGTGTTGGGCTTCCTTTCAGTTTATGAGAAACGTCTGTCACTTGTTTCCATCATTCCAAAAAAAATAAAAAAGTAAATGAATTTAGCTGGTTCAACAAAAACTTCCATTCTATTTTGTTTAGCATCTCATCCCAAAATCAGGAATTCGACGCATTCATGAGCGAAAGAGATTCTCATACTCAAATTCATATCGATTTCATAGAACTCTGCTACTTTTGAGTGTTGCCAGACGATCGGTTACCTGATGAGAAGCGACTGATGCATTTCTGTTCTCCGATATGATGACATCAGGCAGTTTCTGGTCTTGCCGTGGAGGAGGTGGGGCCATTTTTATCCTAAATCTACAGAGACAAATGAACCATTAGTGCTATGATAAGACTTTGAGCTGAGGATGTGCATGCACGATTAGATTGCTGTGCAAAAAAAAAACTTGTCAACTTAAGGCAGAACTCGCTACCTGTGCTCCCTGTTACAGTGTTAGGAGAAAGAAAAATAGATTTGAAGTATTTTCAAAAGAATTGATATCAAATCAAGAGCACATGAACGTATGCTCCATGCAAAAGTAAACATGAAGGGCCAGATTCACTAAACAGCGAAAATGAGCTTGAGACTGAAATCCCATAAAAGTGACGGTAGTGAAAATTTCTGCAGCTGATCTTTCGACATCGCACAACTAACGAACAGACACAACCAGATCATTTCCATAATGACTAACGCAGTATACTACAAGCAACTATCACAGCCAGGTTTGTAGCGGCGCAAGCTGTTAGTAAATCCAAGTCTTTGTGCAAATGAGTCTTCATTTCAAGTGAGCACCACTTTACTCAATCTCAGAAGTGCTACTTATTTTCTTTAAAACATTTTAATTACAAATGACTAGATAGAACGTTAAGCTAGTATAGGAGAGAGAAAAATTCTGGGGAAAGGACAGGAAATGTTTTGAAAGTTAAAGATAAGAATGATTTAATAGAATTACCTTTTGCGTTTCCAGCGGGAGGGTTTGAGACCAACTCCTCCCCATTCTCCCCAGCCTGGCAGAGTCAGGTCCACCACTTCAGGCCTCCCAGCAGCTTCCCGTTTGCTTTTGTCCTTTATGAAATCAGAAATTACATCATCCCCAGCAAACGCCTCCTTGATGATGGAGATCTGTTCATCACGCTCCTAAAATAAAAAAGGGAAAACATTTGAAATACAGGAAAATGCAGCATACAACTCAAAAACGTAGCTCCCTATCATACACCCGGCGCGACGCAAGTGTTTTTTGCTCGTTTCAGCCAGACGCAGTTATCATTTTCACGCCCTGCGCCACGTCGTTTAAATAGCAAACGCATTTGTGCGCCGAAGGGCGTGCTGGTCTGAAAACAAGGTGTGTTCAGGCGCATTTCTATTTTGAGGCAACTGGAATAGACTGCGCCTTTGACCAGCTGAAACCTGGTCTAAAGTCAACGGCGCAATATTTTTTTTATTTATTTAAAGAGTGCATTAGTAATATGCGCCTATAGGTGGGTGAACAACACGCATGCTTATTACACACACAGGGCAGCGCACAAACATGCCAAATATTACAAATGAAAGGATTACAATGTAAAAGATTATTGTTGTGCCCCGTAGATGGTCAGAGCAGAGCCTTTCCTCTCTGGAGAAGCATACAGTCTTTGCAAATTCCGCCGTGTAAATAGCGAATTCGCCATGGCACAAGCGCAACTGGCTTTTAAAGGGAATGACAGAGGAGTCTCTGTTTGGTTTATGGCACGTTACACCCAACACACACCCACGACTCATTAAGAGAATAGGCACAACCCTTTCAGACCATGCACCCGGCGCGCCGACCATTTTGCCCGTCATTAAACTAGCAAAAGTGGATTCGGACACACACTAAGTGCACTTGCGCAATGTGCTTAGATCGTCAAAATATGGCCCTAAATGTCAAAGTTAACAGAGAAAGATCTTAGTCAGGGCTGGCAATTCTGTTCAGTGGGTTTTTCAGAATCTTACAGGTCTAATTTCCACAAGCAAACACACTGTACATCTATATCTGACAGTATTTACATATGGGCTGCATCCGAAATCGCAAACTTCCCTACTACATAGTAGGCGAAAAACGGTATGTGGTACGTTCAAAATCACGGTTTTCATACAACAGTAGACGAAAAGTACCCAGATGACTTTCTATCTCCAGCAGCAAGATTCTGAAGTGTGCATCCGACGGACACTTTACTAACCCATGAGGCCACAGGAGAGGATTTGTGAAGCAACAACAAATCATACTATATAAAACATACTTTTTTTAGTGGACGTGAAGTAATTACTTATTCAAGAGAAGTACCTACTTAAATGAGTATGTGATTTTGGATGCAAAAGGATTACAATGTAAAAGATTATTATTGTGCCCCGTAGATGGTCAGAGCAGAACCTTTCCTCTCTGGAGAAGCATACAGTCTTTGCAAATTCCGCCGTGTAAATAGCGAATTCGCCATGGCACAAGCGCAACTGGCTTTTAAAGGGAATGACAGAGGAGTCTCTGTTTGGTTTATGGCACGTTACACCCAACACACACCCACGACTCATTAAGAGAATAGGCACAACCCTTTCAGACCATGCACCCGGCGCGCCGACCATTTTGCCCGTCATTAAACTAGCAAAAGTGGATTCGGACACACACTAAGTGCACTTGCGCAATGTGCTTAGATCGTCAAAATATGGCCCTAAATGTCAAAGTTAACAGAGAAAGATCTTAGTCAGGGCTGGCAATTCTGTTCAGTGGGTTTTTCAGAATCTTACAGGTCTAATTTCCACAAGCAAACACACTGTACATCTATATCTGACAGTATTTACATATGGGCTGCATCCGAAATCGCAAACTTCCCTACTACATAGTAGGCGAAAAACGGTATGTGGTACGTTCAAAATCACGGTTTTCATACAACAGTAGACGAAAAGTACCCAGATGACTTTCTATCTCCAGCAGCAAGATTCTGAAGTGTGCATCCGACGGACACTTTACTAACCCATGAGGCCACAGGAGAGGATTTGTGAAGCAACAACAAATCATACTATATAAAACATACTTTTTTTAGTGGACGTGAAGTAATTACTTATTCAAGAGAAGTACCTACTTAAATGAGTATGTGATTTTGGATGCAGCCGTGGTGTTTACCCTCATTAAGGTCTATTGGTTACACTTCATTTAAAATTCAACTCACTTCCTCATCAACCACTGTTGGCAAAAAGGGAACTTTGACGGCTTTGGCTTCTTTGGTGAGTACTTCTTTGAGGTCGATTTCCCTTTTCTTTTTATTGGGTGGCTCAGAAGTGGCCTCCACAGCAACGGCTTGTGGCAGTGACGGCTCCGCAATGGGTTGGGGGTCGACAACCTCGCCTAAAACCTCCAGGTCCTCTATATTCCTGACTCGAATCTGTCCTTCATTCAAAAATCCGTCTTCATCTTCTTGCCCGGGTGTGTTCAACCCTTCTCGTGTCTGATTTGAACCCTCAAGTGTCTTCTCGCTCCTCATGAGCCTGAAAAGGGTGTTAAACTCCGAAACGTCCTCTTCTTCTTCTTCTTCTTCATCATCATCATCACCCTCCTCTTTGTCAGAAACCTCAACCACATCTTCTTCAACTACCTCGCTTGCAGGTTCTGTAAAAAAAAATACCAGAAACTAGTTTGGATGAGAATCACCACATACACTTCATTATGCAGCTCAAGTCCATGAGAATGAATAAATGAGAGAATTCTGATTTGGCGGTCGTAAATGAGTTATTAAAAACAGATGCAAATTCCGACAGGTGTACCAACTTCTGTTGATTGCTCTGTATTGCACATTTAACAATAATAAAGGAGACTGAAGGTCAATTAACAGATGAAGGCAGACTATTATAAACACAGTTTGAATGCCAAATGGAGGAAGACTGACAGCCGCAGCGGAAAGAAGAGTTTACTAACGACTTAAATATTCATCTGAACCTCACATTAAACTATGGAACGGCTTCAGAACTCTTGGAATATAGTGCATGGAAATTTTATGGTGCTTTATAATGTGTTTGTGTCTTTCGTGGGGCTTAACAATAACACAGAATAGTATACGGTCGTCTGACTGATAACCGATCCGGCCATTGGCGCCCTCTGCAGGCATTTTATATAATGCATAATATACATAAGTTACGATTATATTGTTTTATTACATTATGCATTTTAAATGTTTTGTTCAATAAAACTATGGCTGCACGATTTGGGGAAAAAATCTAATTGCAATTTTTCTGGTTAAAATGGCGATTTAAATGCGATTTTTAAAACTAATTATTAAAAAAATAATATAATTAGATAAAAATTGATAAGATAACAATACTAATTTTATTTTACAGAAAACTGCAGGGTTACTTGTTAACATACAGGCCTATAACTGTACATCATATGATACTGTTATGACAAAAAAAATTTGACAGTAATTTCTTAATTTTTATCAGGAAGTATGTAAAATAAAAAATGGTGTCCATGTCTTTAATATGAAATATGAGCCTTTTATACATCCACTGTGGGGAAAGAAAAACAAACTCCTGTACACTTCTATACACTGGATAAAAACATGGATTATCATACGTTTACTTCAAATTTCTTCAGAGAGAAGTATTATTTTTCCCTCACGCAGAAACTCCACAAATGCATCACAGAAGTAATAGAACACATGACATTCCAGGAAATCCCTAATATGGACAAAGGTATCTCGCCATCGCTGTGACTGAATTAAAACAAGATAGAAACACCTGAACTGATTGAAGACAATAAACCTACGACAATATATGGTTTATCTGTGTTCAAGCCATCTCGGGGGTGAGATGAGCAGCATTTACTACTGGCGCTGTGCATATATTTAATAAAAAATCGCAGCCTTTGAGATTCAATAATCACAGCAAGCCAAATCACGATTTCGATTAATCGCGCAGCCCTAAATAAAACCATATGATTACTTGCTTTTGATATTTTATTTGAACCAATTATTATCGCCTCATTGCTATTATGACATTTTAAAGTCTATTGTTCGCTTCTATTTTTAATGCCACACAAAATTACCTGATTGCTCGATTAATCGTCAGAATAAGCGATTTATTACTCGATTACCAAAATAATCGTTAGTGACAGCCCTAATCTCAATATATTATATCACTCATCCCTAGTTTGGACATTATAGAACATCTTTCCTTTTGTGTTCCATGGCAAAAAAGTACATCATCAGTTTGAGAATGACACGAGGGTGAGCAAACAATTGCAGAATCGTACGTATTTTCTTTAAGTCTGCTCTCTTACGCTCTTCTTCTGTAGGAATCAAGTCCTCTTCATCAGCTTGCCTCAGCTTCCTCTTCCTCTCAAATTCTCCAACGAGTTCCTCTTCCTCATTCTCCTCTTCTGCGGTTTGCACATCCTCAGTTGTGACACAGCTGACCTCAGACTCTTCATGTGTAAGCTGGCCTCTCATCCAGGGGTTGACAGAGTCAATGACTGGCTCAGAGTCGTTCACAAAATCAGGAATCGTCTCCAACCCTTCCTCGTTACTTTCATGTTCATCATCAGAGGGCACCACGATCTTCTGGGTAAGGTCTTTATTCATCTGCAGCTGCTCCTGCATTGCTTTGCGTGCCTGAAGAGCATGGGAGACACTCAAATGTCACAGTTTATTATGGTAATAAAACTGATGACAAAGAACAGGAACCATAAATAACATTTTCAGTCTCATTCCGCTATCAAGAACATCAAACACTCTCACCGAATCATCATATTTAGCCATAATGGCCTTTGATTTTGCCCACTTGCCACTGTTCTGATGCTTCAGAGACATCCTCTCCTGCAGAGAAAACACGGAAAAATATATTTACGCCCAAATAATTCTCACTTATTCATAATCTTTCTTTCCACAGTCTCTACAGTTCACCACGCACCTCCATCCTGGACAGCTCCATCTTTTTTAGCTCTTCCAGAGCTCCTTCAGGATTCGTCTTTACCATTTCATCAAACTGCTTCAGAAAATCCTTACACTTGGCTTTCTTCTGAACCCTGTGGTACCTGAGGAAGATGCATTTCACACTTAAGATAAAAGAAAGACTAACAAATAGTTGACAGAAATGTTCAGTTGTAGAACTCACTTTTTGCTCTTGATTTTCTTTTCTCTTTTGGCTTTTGCCTCATAGTACGACTGGAGCGCTCTTGCCTTTTGAAGCTCAGCGCGACGAATCTTAGCCTGCCACGCAAAACAAATAGTCACAAAGCGGAATACAAAAAAAAAAAAAAACTGATTAAAAATGAGAACTAATAACAAAGATAGAATAATTAATGTGCTGCTTGGTGACCAATCATAAGCATTAATTTGGAACCATATCATATCAACAGTATCCTGCTCTAAAATGTGGATTTCAGATTTACTTAGAATAACAGCATCATCCCAAATGGCTTAATTATAGAATGAACACCAATCAAAACAAACCATCGCCACACCATCTCACTGCGAGTAACATTAATTGATTATAGCATGAGAATGGCACTGAGAAACGGCTTTGTGGAGTCCATGCCAGCACAAGTACATACTGTCATTAAACCAAAAGAGACACGTACCAAACACTAAAGAAATGCATGTTAAATTTAACAAAATGGTCACATACATTACATAAAGTTTGTAACACTTCACACTAAAGCTGTATTTATCATTCATTTTTCCTTTTTATCTATTTTTTCTCCATTGAGAATCATCAATCAAAAAACATTTTCAAAACACAAATATCAAGGAAGGAATTTTATTTCACTATTTACAGGGTATCTGTAGGATTTTTTAAATTCATATTCAAGACTTTATGACCCTTTTTAAGACCTGCACAAATAAAATTAATATTAGCGGGAAGGGTAACGTCTATGGTAACATATTAAACCATCAAATTATATGATTTAGAGTTCAGATACAGGTTTTCACAAAACACAAAGTCTTACAAAATGATAAACATCACATTTCAGCCTTTAAACAATTTTTTTTTTTTAAAGGCGATGAGTCAAATGTAGGCTATAAATTATTGTATTAAAATATCTTGCTTATCTTAATTGTTTAGATTTTTAGAAGGCACATTATCTTTTCACATTTACAACTTTGCTGCGTAAAAACATGGGTCGATTTTCGCATTGGTCTGAACAAAAACTGCAGACAGGCTTATTGAAAACGCACATTAATTCTCAGCCAGCAGGAGGCGCCTGTGGCGTCAGAAATACAGCGGTTGCCACGGTAACGCTGTAATCAAAGCAGCACTTCGCTCATAAACGTTATAGCTTTTCCCTTCAGCGATACATTCATATACTGTAAAATCACCAGCGCCTCGTTTTGTCTTTGAATCCTGCCATTTGAGATATTTAAGGCTTTTATGGACTTAAATTTGATAAAACTAAATTGAAGACTTTTTAAGGACCCGCGGGAACCCTGTATTTAAGGGCGGTGATGCATTTTGGCAGCCTGGCTGGAAGACACAATAGTTTCAGTTCCAACATGCTCCAAAACACTTGCTATTTTCAAACAATCCTTAACGCCTTGATTAGCTGGTTCAGGTGTGTTTGATTAAGGCTGGAGCTAAACAGGGTTGGCTAGTAAGTCTAATGCATTTTCTCAAGTTGCTTGTTTTTTTCTGTTTATGCACCTTGAGCATGCATCCTATGAAGTTCTGCACCTTGACTGAAAGTGTTACATGGAGCATTAGCAGCAGTAGTAAGAGTAACTCATGTGATGCCATGTGACGTTAACATGGCAGGACCCATGAGGGAGTGACTCACTAAATTAATGTAGCAACATTGCTCTGTAACCATTAATAACTTAATGTCACAAAAACGGCTGTAAACCTCAAAGGCAATAGAACAGAAGCTTTATGAAAGTCATACCTCCTCCAAGCTCATGGCTTTAAGTGATTGCTCCTCTACAGGAGTCAAAACAGGGTCATCGACAGGCTGGCTGTTGATGTGCAAGAGTCTGAAAATCTCTTGTTCAAGAGGAGTTTGAACCTGTCAGAGAAAACACACATGGAGTTATTTATTCAAGGAACATTTCAAGATCAGAAACAGTACTTCTGTGTGTGTGTGTGTGTGTGTGCGAGTGAGTGAGTGAGAGAGAGAGTGTGTGTGTGCGAGCGAGTGAGTGAGTGAGAGTGTGTGTGTGTGTGTGTGTGTGTGTGTGAGTGAGTGAGAGAATGTGTGTGTGTGTCTCGTTTGAGGACATAACACTTTTCAATGTTTGCACACTATTCAATTCAAAGTTTAAGCAGTTTTATGAAGAACAATGTAGCATAAACAGAAACACTAATGAACAAGCAAAGGTGACAATACATTGTGTTCCTTTTCATAAACCTGGATATAAAACTGAAATAGCAGTAAAAATATTTATATTGGTAAAATTTGTCAATATGGTTGACATTTGCAGCTAACATATGCAGTTATGGGGTAAAATGCTGTTCAAATGTCTAAGACCTCGGGTTGATTTGATTGACTGCAAATCAGCATCAAATCAAATCAGCAAAACTTCAGTGATTGCTTTTTTTCTTCAGATAACAAGTCAAGAGAGTAGGGGTGCTCACAATTTTTCTTTTTAACAAAACGAGATTTAAGAAATTATAAATCAAAAGGTGTCCTTTTATTATTTCTCCAACAAAATGCTGCACATTTCTTTGTGAAATTGTAATATGTCAAATCATAAAACTAACTTTAATTTTTTTAACAAATCCCAAATCAAATAATTAAATAATACAAATAAAATAAATCTCTTCATATAAACAAACTAAGGTTGAATGAGTGCGCGCAGCTCCGAATGCTCGTGAATGGTTTGAAACACTTGAATGTTTAAATAGCCCCGGGACATCGGGTTAGCGATTTTGCGAGCCCTGATAAAATGTATATTGAAGATGGAGTGAATAAAGGTAAAGTGCAGTTTAACGTACGCCTGAACCCCATTAATATTTCAACAATAATTTTAGCGACTTAACCATCGTTGTGTAACTACACTACTATAATTCTATAAACCATGAGAAAAAAAAACATGCAATCCAGCAGCAAAATGCAGGCCGTGGAGCATCAACGAATCATAGATACTAGTAATGATTTCTGACTAGGTAAAAAAATTTGATTTTGAAAAATCTGCAACATATAGCTTATTACATGCAAAAGTGTTGTAAAGTGCTTTGGTAAAGGAAAATATTCAACTGTCTAGTTATAACATCTAATCATGCACCGCAAGAAAATGACAAACCGAGCCCTTCAGAAACAAAACAAAAACAAAGCACACCTTCCATCCAGCCACAACCTGCTCGACCCGTTTAGGTCCCGAGGACTCCTGGTTCAGAGGAAACACCATTTGTTCGGCCTTCTGGTTCTGCAATATGATGTTCCGCCAGCATGACACCTCTGCAGCGGTCTTCTCATACGCGATGCCTCTCTGAATCTGTGGACATAAGAGAGAGACAAACGTCAGCAAAATAAGACTAAAACACCATGGGCTGAATTTAGAAAAGTGGTTCCTGATTTAATTCTTTAAACAACTACACCTTTGTGACTGTATGTATATAATTCTGCATACAGGTGCATCTCAATAAATTAGAATGTCGTGGAAAAGTTCATTTATTTCAGTAATTCAACTCAAATTGTGAAACTCGTGTATTAAATAAATTCAATGCACACAGACTGAAGTAGTTTAAGTCTTTGGTTCTTTTAATTGTGATGATTTTGGCTCACATTTAACAAAAACCCACCAATTCACGATCTCAACAAATTAGAATATGGTGACATGCCAATCAGCTAATCAACCAAGTGATTATTAAAATGAAATGTCACTGATCCCATTCTGATTGCTAGGTGCTTTTGACGTGAATATAATGTTTATATGGACTGCACAATTGAAATAAGATCCCTGATGCCATTCATTGAAACTAATTTAAAAGCACAGGTTTTGTAGCCTCTTGGTTTATGATAGAGTGAGCAACTGAACTGAAAATTCAGCATTCACCTTCTCTGTTTGCTGCTTGTTGAGAGGCAGCTCCAAAGTCTCTTTACTGCTTTGCAGGTTCCTCAGCTGTTTCTTGGTCTTGTTGGAGGCTCCTGAGGTCTTCTCCACAGTTCCCAGGAGGTCAGAGAGGTTGACTTTCTCTCCTGTACCTGTACAAATAGAATAAAGAAAACTTACGACTGATGCTCCGTCTCAGTCAAGGACATGATGCGAATAAATTCTGCATTTACCCTCTGCATTGACGAAGAACTCGGAGACCTGCACGCTTGCTTCAGAACGCTCATTCTGCTTTTTCCTTGGATAAACAAGCATCAACTGATTAAAAATAATAAACATTTTATTATTATTTTTTCTGACTCTGCTGAAAAGAGATTCATTCCAATAGGGACTTTATTTAGGAAACCAAGTCTAAACACTCAATTTTAGAGCTTTTCATTTTGCACGCCACTAAAAAGTTGGGATGCATCAAAATTATGACAACTGACAATTTTTGGCAGAAAGAGAGCAATATACAATTATGCATTTGTATACTTGCCAGCATGGACAACTTAAAGCCGTCACTGGTGTTCGCAGTGCATAATTTGACTGGACAAATAAAAACGATGGTTAATTTCATTAGTTACTTTATTTACATGTAGTTAAATTTAGAATTCTTAAGAGTAGTGTGGTAAATGAAGTTACATTTATTGGAATAAAAACAAGAAGTATCTGTGTTACTGAATGTTTCTTTGTGTGTGCAGTCGTCTCAATGAAGGAACCGTGATTAAACTCTGTTATCATTCAACAGTTTGAACGCGCTCAGTCTAGCCAGTCAGAATCACAGAATCAAATGGTTTAAATAGAATAACTTATTTATTAAATACTTAGGTTATTTAAGAAGTACTTATTTCATCTTCCAAACATTCCAGTTTTCAGTCAAGCACTTTCATGTAGGTGGACTAGTACTAAAAAGATAAATCTCAAATGTCTCACACCTCTTTCTTGAACCCATAGAACTGATGGCTTCCAGTAGCTTCTTGTGTTTTCTCTCATCATCACTGCCCTCCTGTATTTAAAAGGAAAAAAAGGCTAAATAAAATTATATCTATATCTATATCTATATATCTATATCTATATATATATATATATATATATATATATATATACACACATTTTGGCTTAATCTGGCACAGGTAAAATGCTGTTCAAATGTCTAAGACCTCGGGGAACAAGCACCAACAGCTCATGTGAACAATTAGGTGATTCATCTGTCCAAATATGAGTTTTTACTGCAAAGTCAACAGTCGTCTAGCTCCATTTATAGATAAGTTGGAGTTTGATGAAAATAATGGAGTAAGATTAGATGTAACATCCTCTTGTGGACAACTTCGGTATTACAGCTCCTCGTCTGTTATTCACAGAATTTGCTGCAAGCCCCACTCATCATCAGAAATTCATGAAATTTGGCATATTTCCTCAGAATGACCTGTTGTCCAAGTGCACCAACTTTCATGAAGTTTGGGCATTGCATTCACAAGATACAGGCCAATTGGTTATCATCAGCCTACGATTCTTTTGATAACTTTTTGTCTAGTATCTTGAGATGGTGCATAAAACCAATGTTGTGTGAATCAGACATACAGTCTAAGACAAGCTACTAGCACAACAAGGAGAGTTTTCCATATTTTTGTGGTTAAAAAGTATATAAATGTTTATTTATTATTTGTTTTTTAGTAAATGAGCGATGGTTTGGCTAGATAAGACTCTTATTCCATTCTTTAATGTTTATTGCTGTAGATCAGGGGTTGTGAAAACATTCCTGAAGCCTCGCAGAAGTTGGGTTTTATGTTGTATATTTCCCATATTGCACACAGCCAGCTCAGTTCATAAAATACTCTACTAATCAGTTAATTTATCTGGAATAAATAAAGGAAACAAGCACTTTACATTGTCCTCGTTACATGCACATAATATAGTAACAACAGTATATTATAAATAACTGCATGCAACTATCCACAAACAGTATGTTCATTTATATTACTTAGTAATGTATAATTACACTGTGACAGGGATAATTTAAGAGAAAGTATAAGCAAAATAAATAAATGAATACATTTACATATAATAGCAAGCAACCAAGATTTCTTAAATGCACTGCTCATAACATCCTCATCTAAAGAGAGTAAGAGTGTCTTCCTCACCTCTTCTTCACTGGCACTGATGGCTTGCTCATTAATGGAAAGCTCCTCTTCATCAGCAGCCATGCTTGAGCTCAGCTTCACTGTGAGGAACACTAACAAGAAATGATAGATGTGTTGTTCATATTAAGGACTTGAACGATACTCTAATGTTTTGGGCTGATGCTGGTATCTATAACCACAGAAAATAACCCTATTGTTCATACTAATGAGTAAGCAAAACACACACATGATGCATAACAAGACGAGAGAAGACACTGAGCAAACCTTAATGTTTCCTGAAGAGAGTTGACCTGACCACGTGTCCTGGCGAACTGTGAAAGCGGCTGATTTCGCTCTTTTCTCTGATGTTATTGAGGAAATCAGAGGTTTCCACAGGCAATACGTCCGTCAACTTAAAAGGCCAGCATGATATCAGAACTGCTAAAAGACAGAATATCGGGCGGTGAGCTCAATTTCTCTGTGTGCGTCGCCAACATCTGATTCTTCTGTGTGTTGCAAACCAACACCGATTAGGCGCATAGCGCCCCCTCCTGTGCTGGAGTAAACTTCTTTAACCAGATTAACCAGCGCCACCATCTGCACTGATGGGGGATAAAATCTTAATTTATATTAAATAAATTAATTGATCAAAACATTTCACTGCATTATGCATTTACAGAATTATGTAAAAGTCTAAACATAAATATAAATAAGTAAATATAAGCGTCTTGCTGTGTGTTCACTTTACTTCATATGCTTTATTATGAAAGAGGTGCACATTTAACAGTTTTTGTGTGGGTAGCAGTGTTGGGGGTAACTCATTACAAGTAATGCGAGTAACGTAATCAGATTACTTTTTTCAAGTAACTAGTAAAGTAACGCATTACTTTTTTAATTTACAAGAACATATCTGAGTTACTTTTTCAAAAAAGTAATGCCAGTTACTTTGTTTTCCCATGTATTGCCTGACAGCTCAGTAATGCAATATGTAATGCATTACTTTTAAAAGTAACTTTCCCCGACACTGGTGGGTAGTGTATGCAGTGTCCTAATGTATAAGGTGAACTGTTCAAAACAGAATGTACAGAGACAGGTCATGATCTTTCCCTTTCCTAAAACTGCCTCTCTCTAATATGTCAGTGTAAATAAACTGGAAAAGAAACAAATATAGTGTAAAAGAAGATAGGCTGCAGTATATGATATTTATGCAGGGGTGTAAAATACTTCAGTAATAACTGTAGTTTTAGTCAAGTACTATATATTTGAGTAATCTTAGTTTTATTTTTAGTCTTGTTTTACAGTAGTTGACTGAAATATCATAAGATTTTAGTTAACTAAAATCTAATGGGTTTAGTTAAATTGTAATGCATTAATTAAGCATTTCTCTAAAATTTCCAAACTCAATATATATTCCTGGATAATATGAATAATAAAACCTGTTAATATGAATAATATTATGGAATATAGACACATATTTAACTGCTGTGACACATAACATGTCTTTATTTATATTAAAATTAAATATAATTTTAATTTTTATGTTTCGGTTATTTATGTTATTATGCTTTGCTGTGGTTGGTTTTGCTCCTGGATTCCTTGTGGTTCTTTCCCTGTGGATTTATCATTAAAGACTGTTTATTGAATACTCCTTCATCGTGAACTTGGATTTAGCAAGCAATGGTTTACACAATGGTTATATATGCGTTCTTTATAAAAACTTGCATACAAAATTCTTCATTCTTTCAAGCAGACATATTTATTCATATAAATTAATTTTATATTAATCTTTATTAAGGCCAGTAAAGTGATTCAGTCAAGAGTAGTGAGTGATTTTCTCTTTGTCGTTTGTGGTTTTATTAACATTAATGACAGACAACAGCAACTAAATTAGGCTGCTGTCCCTTTAAAACCAAATGCACTGATTCATATACTGATACACAGCTGATATTTTCCCAACTGTTTACATTCACTTCAGACATAACTGAGTGGGTTTACATGGAATCACCAAAATGGAAATTTGACATATTTTGTGTGTATTTGTCAGTTCAAGTGCAATAAGATGTGAAAGAGAACTGACTTCAGTATTCGTGCACTGTCTGAGAGGCATTTTCTGTGTGTGCGCTCAGAAAACTGGACAGAGTTGAGTTCTCTTTCGCATCGTCACACTTTTTCTAATTTATCATATGTCTACTCTTCTCTTACTCCCGGACATTGACATTTTTGAATGTTTAATGAGACATGCAGCAAGTGTATGCTAATGGCTCGCCGGGTAGATCAGAGCATTACAGTTCAAATGTGTGCATCTACCATCTCTACCACACAGGAGACTCATTCTGACTGGATCTCTTCCCAGCTCATCCCTCCCTAACATTTTTGTCTCGTTTTTATTCTTTGACATAAATGTCAGAATAGAATGGAGAAAATTGATTTTCATCATAGTTTTTGTCATTCAGAGCGAATTTTTATTTCGTTATCATCTCGTATTCGTCAAAGAAAAAAATGTTGTTGACAAAAATTATGATGAAAATTATTTGTCAACAAAACTAACACTCACACCCTACACCATGCATGACACGAGGTTTCCCAGTGTGGTGAATCTTGTTCCACAATGCCGCAGGAACCCTACCTCAGGTAGTTTGCATGTGGTTCTGTTGAGGCCACTGTTGCTGAGCCTGGGCGCCTAGTTAGCACTTCTCAGCCCATTACACTGGCTTCTCAGAATGATTTGGTTCGGCTATGCGCTCCAATTCTCTAGGTGCCCGCTTAAAGGGTTAGTTCACCCAAAAATGAAATTAGCCCATAAATTACTCACCCTCAAGTCATCCTAGGTGTATATGACTTTCTTCTTTCAGACGAATCCAGTCGGAGTTATATAAAAAATGGTCTTTGATCTTTCAAGCTGTTTCATGGCACTCAGTGGGTGTTGCATGCTTCAGTCCAAAACAAGTTAAATAAAAATCGCCCATCCATAAAAAAAGTGTCTCACACGGCTCCGGGGGGTGAACAAAGGCCTTCTGTAGTGAATCGATGCGTTTTTGTAAGAAAAATATCCATATTCAAAAAGTAATAATCACTTTAATCTAGCTAGCGCTCACTGTTGTAAAGGGAAGCAGCAAAAACGCATCGATTCGCTACAGAAGGCCTTTGTTCACCCCCCGGAGCCGTGTGAGACACTTTTTTTATGGATGGGCGATTTTTATTTAACTTGTTTTGGACTGAAGCAATGCAACACCCGCTGAGTGCCATTAAACAGCTTGAAAGATCAAAGAC